AAGAAACATGCTTTTCATTCCTGGTATGACTTAAGGACGCTTTGTTGATGTGATCATTCCAGAAAACATTAGCAAAAAGTACACATGCACTAAATGTTTTGTTTCCTTGAGGAAGGGGATAAAAAATCTTTTATTTTTTTAAAGTCTATCATTCTCTCATGCCATATTTATAAACTTTAACTACCAAACATTAAAAAAAAGTACAAATGTACTAAACATGTTTTTTTTTTCCTTGAGGAAGTGGATAAAAATCCTATGTTTGTAATTTCTATCCTTCTCTCATGCCATATTTATAAACTTTCAAGCTTTCTTTTCTTATTTTTGAACCAATTTACATCAAGAACATTTCAATATTAGCAATTTAATTTTTTTTATAGGTATTTTGAAACCTGTTCAGTTAAGATCAAATGCTGGTCACGAGATGTTTTTACAGATGGTCTATGTAGAACCATTTGAACGGATGTCAGCAATAGTATAGTACCTTCAAGTTGTTGCAAGTATCAACAGAAACTAAGAGTGTATAGGACAGCATGATTTAATACTAGTATATAAAGTTCTAAGAGCTTGCTTTCACTAGCTGTGAGTATCCTTTTTTTGCAGTATTGTTTATACTGTATAAAAGAAAGTAAGAGTACTTAATCTACTAGTATAACTTTTATGGCATGTTCTATCATGTTGACCTTTTGTTTATATACTGGTGGATACTGAAAATGGGAAGGGTTGAGACCTCAAGAAAATATATAATCCCACCTTTATTCATATGATTGTGTGATATAGCCAGCAAAGTAGGCAGCTGTTCTTGACAATGTAGGCGAGGGGTCTGGGGGCTGCCCAAGCCTCTGCCCCCAGAAGCTGACGACTTTTCAGCATTTTACCACTGTTTTGATTAGTCAAAATGTTCTTGATTTTTGTTAAAACTGATCTACCAAGTTATTAACTTAAACAAGAATTTGTGTCCACAGTAGACTCATGCCCCGCTCACAGTGTCATTTTTAATTTTCAGTGAACCATGAAAATGGGATAAAAACCCCTTTTTTTAGAAAATTAGAAATACCACATTATAAGGAACATGTGTACTAAGGTTCAAGATCATGTGACTACAACTTCACCCTAAACTACCTTCACCAAAAACTGCAACCTGATCAGAGACGGATGGGCGGACTCACGGACCAAAAAACATAATTCCCTCTTCTATCATAGGCGGGGCATACAAATAAAAGTAATGTGATTGCAAAACAATTTACTCTTATTCAAACATCACAACTAGTACAAAAGAAAACACTACTGACTCAGTTCAGTAAAGAGCCATTAGGATTACAGTTTTTAGCCCAGCAATCACGCTAATAACCTCTCTATATCAATTTTGAATGAGCGATGCACATGCATTAAAGCAAGTGATGATCATGATAGACAATCATCAATGTTGATCTCAAACAGTTCTTTATTCTCTTCATTGCATTATATTAAGTTACCCCTGTGACGGTGACAGGTGTTAGCAAATCAGGAAATTAACAAGCATTCCGAGAGTATTGCATTGCAATACATAGTCCCCTACCGGTTAAAAATTAATTGTACTGGAACAAAATGCTAACTTGATATATAACTTGTCATGGTGTAAATTATACAACAAATATCAAGTCAATATCTTCAAGCATGACGAAAAAAAGTGCGGAAAACTGATAGTTTAAGTGAATTTTCTAAGTCCAAGGACCATAACTCTGCAAAAAATCATCAAACCAAAACAAAATATAAACTTGGTCTGTAACTTTTCATGATAAAACTATATACCAATTATCAGATCAATATCTTCAAGCATGACGAAAAAAAGTGCAGAAAACTGATTATTTGAGTGAATTTTCTAAGTCCAAGGACCATAACTCTGCAAAAAATCATCAGACCGGAACAAAATTCGAACTTGATCTGTAACTTGTTATGATAAAACAATATACCAAATATCAAATCAATATCTTCAAGCATGAAGAAAAAAAGTGTGGAAAACTGATTTGCCGGACTGACAGAAGGACAGACAGATGGACAGACAGACAGAGTGCAACCTAAAGCCCCCTTCGACTTCGACTAAAAACTTGATACAGGAGAATAACTATAGAAGACGGTTAATGATGGTTTTATTTTGTGAATGATTTTGACCAATCTTTATAATGATTAATATGACTTGATAAGTCTGACAGCCATATAAAAATTTCTGTTCTGGTTAAAATAAAAAAAATTTATCTGTTAAAATAGAAAATAGTTATGCATGCACTTATAGTCACCTTGACGGAAAAGTAAGTTTGTAAACTTCTTTCCTTTCTTCTGTTAAAAGACTTTAAGTCTCCTTTTCACTGCACTACTAGTAATAGTGCCGTCTGTAAAGCACTCACAAATGTCCAGGTACCGTGGGTCAAAGCATGTAACTTTGGTCAATGTGTCGACTGTCCTGTCATCTGTCCTGGACGAACTTGCAGGATTTGCCTGTTTGTCATTAGTGTCACTTTAACTACTTGCTTGATTTTTATCTGCTGTTTCTTTCTTTGCAAAATACGATTTTACAAGTCTTTGCATTTTGTATGGTTTTTTGTTTACTTGTCTTCAAATCAAGGTACCATGACTTACCAAACTTCCTGATATATCAATAAAATGCTCCGCAGGGCGCAGCTTGATACGACTGCAGAGGTCTAACCCTGAACAGTTGGGGCAAGTATGGACACAACATTCAAGCTTGATACAGCTCTGAATTTGGATTGTAATTAAATATTTGACACAGCATAGGTTTCTGACACAGAATGAATGTGGTCTAAGAACTTAAAAATTTTAATTTACCTATTATGGTCCAATATCCAAAATCTAAATACATGGTTAGATTCAGCATATCTAAGAACCCCAAGAATTCAATTTTTGATGAAATCAAACAAAGTTTAATTTTGGACCCTTTTGACCTCAATGTAGACAAAGTTGATAATGGGGCCCAAAAATCAAAAATCTAAATACATGGTTAGATTCAGCATATCAAAGAACCCTAAGAATTCAATTTTTGTTAAAATCAAACTAAGTTTAATTTTGGACCCTTTGGACCTTAATGTAGACCAATTTGAAAACGGAACCAAAAATTAAGAATCTAAATACACGGTTAGATTCGGCATATCAAAGAACCCCAATAATTCAATTTTTGATGAAATCAAACAAAGTTTAATTTTGGACCCTTTGGACCTCAATGTGGACCAATTTAAAAACGGGGCCCAAAATCCAAAAACTTAATACACGGTTAGAATCAGCATATAAAAGAACCCCAAGAATTCAAGAATAAAACCCCATTGAAATTGGTCAAGAAATAAGCAATTTATACGAAGTATCTTCTTTTGCACAATACTGTGCAATTGAATATTTCTTGCTATTGCGCAATACTGTACAATTGACAATTTCTTGCTATTGCGCAATATTGTGCTATTGGATATTTCTTGCTATTGCACAATACTGTGCAATTGAAGATTTCTTGCTATTGCGCAATACTGTGCAATTGAAGATTTCTTGCTATTGTGCAATACTGTGCAATTGAAAATTTCTTGCTATTGCACAATACTTATTATATAATAATTTACACATCCTGTTCGGTGTGTATCTCCTACCATATCATTATTATTTGTTTTTAAATATAAAACAGAAATAACCAACTTAAAATGGAAAATTTTAAAAGAAAAAAAAAAAAATCCCCCCCCAAAAATCTTTTAAACCCCCTTATGATTCATCACCCCTAAACTCAATCCCAGCCTTCCCTTTGTGGTATGGTACCTTGCAGTACAATTTCAGAGAGATCCATACACTTGAACACAAGTTATTGTCTGGAAACTAGAAAAATGCTTATTTTTGGCCCCTTTTTGGCCCCTTATTCCTAAACGTTTTGGGCAATTACCCCCAAGCTCAATTCCAGCTTTTCCTTTGTGATATGGAACCTTGCAGTACAATTTCAGAAAGATCCATACACTTACACACAAGTTATTATCATGAAACTAGAAAAATGCTTGTTTTTTGCCCCTTTTTTGGCCCCTTATTCCTAATATTTTGAGGCAATTACCCCCAAAATCAATCCCAGCATTCCCTGTGTGATATGGAACCTTGTGGTACAATTTCAGAGAGATCCATACACTTGAACACAAGTTATTGTCTGGAAACTAGAAAAAATGCTTATTTTTGGCCCCTTTTTGGCCCCAAATTCCTAAACGTTTTGGGCAATTACCCCCAAACTCAATTCCAGCTTTCCCTTTGTGATATGGAACCTTGTAGTACAATTTCAGAAAGATCCATACACTTACACACAAGTTATTGTCATGAAACTAGAAAAATGCTTGTTTTTTGCCCCTTTTTTGGCCCCTAATTCCCAATATTTTGAGGCAATAACCCCCAAAATCAATCCCAGCATTCCCTGTGTGATATGGAACCTTGTGGTACAATGTCAGAGAGATCCATACACTAACACACAAGTTATGTCTGGAAGTTACAAAAATGCTTATTTTTGGCCCCTTTTTCCTTAACTGTTGGTACCATAACCCCCAAAATCAATCCCAACCTTCCTTTTGTGTTATTGAACCTTATGGTAAAATTTCATAGAGATCCATTCACTTAAACTAAAGTTAGAGTGTGAAAACCAATGTGTCTTCGGACGACGCCGGACGACGCCAGACGACGACGCCAACGTCATACCAATATACGACCGCAAAAAATTTTTGCGGTCGTATACAAAAAATAAATTGCTTTGCCGGGCGCAGCTGGATACGATCGCAGAGGTGCAACCCTGAACAGTTGGGGAAAAAATGGACACAATATTAGCGCTTGATACAGGTCTGAATTTGGATTGTAATTAAATATTTGACACATTATAGGTTTCTGACACAGAATAACTGTAGTCAAAGAACTTAGAATTGGTTATATGATTTGAATTTATATTCAATTTTTGCTTTTGTACAATACACTGTGCCTGTGCGAATTGACCCCCCACACCCCAAAAAAATAAATAATAAAATGCTTCGCTGGGCGCAGCTTGATACGACCGCAGAGGTCGAACCCTGAACAGTTGGGGCAAGTATGGACACAACATTCAAGCTTGATACAGCTCTGAATTTGGATTGTGATTAAATATTTGACACAGCATAGGTTTCTGACACAGAAAGAATGTGGTCTTAGAACTTCAATTTTTTTAATTTACCTATTATGGTCCAATGTCCAAAATCAAAATACATGGTTAGATTCAGCATATCAAAGAACCCCATATATTCAATTTTTGTTGAAATCAAACAAAGTTTAATTTTGGACCCCAACTTGGACAAACTTGAAAACTGGTCCCATAATCAAAAATCTAAACATGTGTTAGATTCAGCATATCAAAGTACCCGAAGAATTCAATTTTTGTTAAAATCAAACTAAGTTTAATTTTGGACCCTTTGGACCTTAATGTAGACAAATTTAAAAAACGGGACCCTAAATTAAAAATCTAAAAACACAGTTAGATTTGGCATATCAAAGAACCCCAATAATTCAATTTTTGATGAAATCAAACAAAGTTTAATTTTGGACCCTTTTGACCTCAATATGAACCAATCTGATAGCGGGCCCACAAATAAAAAATCTAAATACATGGTAAGATTCAGCATATCAAAGAACCCCATATATTCAATTTTTGTTGAAATCAAACAAAGTTTAATTTTGGACCCCAATTTGGACCATCTTGAAAACTGGGCCAAAAATCTAAAATCTAAATACATGTTTAGATTCAGCATATCAAAGAACCCCATATATTCAATTTTTGTTGAAATCAAACAAAGTTTAATTTTGGACCCCAACTTGGACCAACTTGAAAACTGGTCCCATAATCAAAAATCTAAACACATGTTTAGATTCAGCATATCAAAGAACCCCAAAAATTCAATTTTTGTTAAAATCAAACTAAGTTTAATTTTGGACCCTTTGGACCTTAATGTAGAGCAATTTAAAAAACAGGACCCAAAATTAAAAATCTAAATACACGGTTAGATTTGGCATATCAAAGAACCCCAATAATTCAATTTTTGATGAAATCAAACAAAGTTTAATTTTGGACCCTTTTGACCTCAATATGAACCAATTTGATAGCGGGCCCACAAATAAAAAATCTAAATACATGGTAAGATTCAGCATATCAAAGAACCCCATATATTCAATTTTTGTTGAAATCAAACAAAGTTTAATTTTGGACCCCAATTTGGACCAACTTGAAAACTGGGCCAAAAATCTAAAATCTAAATACATGTTTAGATTCAGCATATCAAAGAACCCCATATATTCAATTTTTGTTGAAATCAAACATAGTTTAATTTTGGACCCCAACTTGGACCAACTTGAAAACTGGGCCCATAATCAAAAATCTAAACACATGTTTAGATTCAGCATATCAAAGAACCCTAAGAATTCAATTTTTGTTAAAATCAAACTAAGTTTAATTTTGGACCCTTTAGACCTTAATGTAGACAAATTTAAAAAACGGGACCCAAAATTAAAAATCTAAATACACGGTTAGATTCGGCATATCAAAGAACCCCAATAATTCAATTTTTGATGAAATCAAACAAAGTTTAATTTTGGACCCTTTGGACCTCAATGTGGACCAATTTAAAAACGGGGCCCAAAATCCAAAAACTTAATACACGGTTAGATTCAGCATATTAAAGAACCCCAAGAATTCAAGAATAAAACCCCATTGAAATTGATCAAGAAATAAGCAATTTATACGAAGTATCTTCTTTTGCACAATACTGTGCAATTGAATATTTCTTGCTATTGCGCAATACTGTACAATTGACAATTTCTTGCTATTGCGCAATATTGTGCTATTGGATATTTCTTGCTATTGCGCAATACTGTTAAATTGAAGATTTCTTGCTATTGCGCAATACTGTGCAATTGAAGATTTCTTGCTATTGTGCAATACTGTGCAATTGAAAATTTCTTGCTATTTCACAATACTTATTATATAATAATTTACACATCCTGTTTGGTGTGTATCTCCTACCATATCATTATTATTTGCTTTTAAATATAAATCAGAAATAACCAACTTAAAATGGAAAATTTTAAAAGAAAAAAAAAAGGAAAAAAAGAAAAAAAAAAAAAAAAAAAATCCCCCCCCCCAAATTTTTTGAACCCCCTTATGATTCATCACCCCCAAACTCAATCCCAGCCTTCCCTTTGTGGTATGGTACCTTGCAGTACAATTTCAGAGAGATCCATACACTTGAACACAAGTTATTGTCTGTAAACTAGAAAAATGCTTATTTTTGGCCCCTTTTTGGCCCCCAATTCCTAAACGTTTCGGGCAATTACCCCCAAACTCAATTCCAGCTTTCCCTTTGTGATATGGAACCTTGTAATACAATTTCAGTAATATCCAAACACTTACACACAAGTTATTGTCATGAAACTAGAAAAATGCTTGTTTTTTGCCCCTTTTTTGGCCCCTAATTCCTAAAATTTTGAGGCAATTACCCCCAAAATCAATTACAGCCTTCCCTTTGTGATATGGAACCTTGTGGTACAATGTCAGAGAGATCCATACACTTACACACAAGTTATTGTCTGAAAGTTACAAAAATGCTTATTTTTGGCCCCTTTTTGGCCCCTAATTCCTTAACCTTTGGTACCATAACCCCCAAAATCAATCCCAACCTTCCTTTTGTGGTATTGAACCTTATGGTGAAATTTCATGGAGATCCATTCACTTAAACTAAAGTTAGAGTGCGAAAACCAATGTGTCTTCGGACGACGCCGGACGACGCCGGACGACGACGACGACGACGACGCCAACGTCATACCAATATACGACCAAAAAATTTTTAATTTTTGCGGTCGTATAAAAATTAACCCATTTTTTTTTGCTTTTGTGCGATACACTATGCTGTTGCGTATTGAACCACCCCCTTTTTTCCAAAAAAACAAAATATGTGAAGAAATTTTGTTTAATTTCTGAAATCTGAAAACATGTGGTATAATTTCAGAGAGATCCATACACTTAAACACAAGTTATTGTCTGGAAACTAGAATAAACTGCTTCGCTGAGCGCAGCTAGATACGCCCGCAAAGGTCCAACCCTGAACAGTTGGGGCAAAAATGGACACAATATTCAAGCTTGATTCAGGTCTGAATTTGGATTGTAATTAAATATTTGACATATTATAGGTTTCTGAATAAATGTAGTCAAAGAACTTGAAATAGGTTATATGAATTGAATTTATATTCAATTAAAGATTTCTTGATGTTGTGCAATATTATAAACAAATAAAGTTCAATTAATTCTCAATGTCATATTTGAAATTTATGAAAATAAAAAGGGAGCTTACATCAATAGATATAAACAATTCACCAAATTTTCATGAGAATTGGTGACAGCATTTTTGAGTTATTGTCCGAAAACTGGAAAATCACCCCTTTTTTTAATGAATAATACCCCATAACTCAGAAATGTAAAATGTAAAATTTATAAAATTCTAAAGGGAGCTTACATCAATACATACAAACAATTCACCAAAGTTTCATAAGAATTGCTGAAAGCAATTTTGAGTTTTTGTCAGAAAACTGGAAAATTCCCCCTTTTTTTATGAATAAAACCCTGTAACTCGGAAATGTAAAATCTTAAATTTATAAAAATCGAAAAGGGAGCTCATGTCAATAGATATAAACAATTCACCACAATTTCTTGCAAGTTGGTGAAAGCATTCTTGACTTATTGTCCGAAAACTGGAAAATCCCCCTTTTTTTAATGAATAAAACCCCATAACTTGGAAATGTAAAATCAAAATTTTATAAAAAACGAAAGGGAGCTCATGTCAATAGATATAAACAATTCACCAAAGTTTCATGCAAATTGGTTAAAGCATTTTTGAGTAAATGTCCGACATGTTGACGACGGACAGACGGACGGACGGACGGACGGACGGACGGACAGACGGACAACGGTATACCATAATACGTCCCGTAAACGGGCGTATAAAAATGCCTTTTTGGCCCCTAATTCCTAAACTGTTAGGACCATAACCCCCAAAATCAATCCCAACCTTCCTTTTGTGGTATTGAACCTTATGGTAAAATTTCATAGAGATCCATTCACTTAAACTAAAGTTATTGTGCAAAAACCAATGTGTCTTCGGACGACGACGACGCCAACGTCATACCAATATACGACATAATAAAATGCTCCGCTGGGCGCAGTTCGATACGACCGCAGAGGTCAAACCCTGAACAGTTGGGGCAAGTATGAACACAACATTTAAGCTTGATACAGCACTGAATTTGGATTGTGATTAAATATTTGACACAGCATAGGTTTCTTACACAGAATGAATGTGGTCTAAGAACTTGAAATTTTTTAATTTACCTACTCAAACCATATCATTATTATTTGCTTTTATATATAAATCAGAAATAACTAGGGATGTCAACGAGAACTCAAGTAACGCTCAGTCGTATAGAGTATCGAGTACCAAAATGATACTCGACTAATCGATTTCCTGTTAGAATGATGTTGCTTTCTTAAGTTTAAACAAAAAATATTTTATTGAGAGCGCCTCCCGGGAAATTATATATACTAATCAAAGTTAATAAAAATCAAAATACTATTCTAATGTTTGCGTTTAACTGTCATTCAAAATTCCTTCAAACAGAGGTACATGTATGATATATGAACAAGAGTATTTTTCAAAGGCTTACACTTTTAGCTTATCTTAGTCACTCCCCCACCTCTGTACCGTCAGAGCATGCATTTTCATCAGCAGGACTGTTTGTTACCTAACAAATCTGAGAAATCGCTACATCCAAGAAAAAGTTGACAAAATAATATTTTTAAATAAGAACAAATTCGTTGCACTCTGTGTCGACCCTAAGAAAATAATAAATGGCATCAGTAAGCTCTAATCACCACCCCTTTGTCGATCATTAAATGTGTTTTTTTACGGTTCACAAATACTGTTGCTTAAGTAATAATTTTTCTATAGATATATTTTATTAATTAATTACTTGATTAGATTATTACCAGTTTACATAATTAGTGCCTGTAGTAAATGAGCTATTAATTATGGTATAAAATTCATTGGACTATTATCTGGGCCTAGGTAATAATGTTGAGGGTTTTACGATCATAAGACAACGACCCACAATACATAAATAAATGTTTTACCGCTCGGTAAATCCAAAGAGTAATCGATTAGTAAATCTTCACCGAGTTGACATCCCTAGAAATAATCAATTTAAAATGGAAAATTTTAAAGAAAAAAAAGGAAACCCCCCCCCCCCCCAATTTTTTGAACCCCCTTATGATTCATCACCCCCAAACTCAATCCCAGCCTTCCATTTGTGGTATGGTTCTTTGCAGTACAATTTCAGAGAGATCCATACACTTGAACACAAGTTATTGTCCTGAAACTAGAAAAATGCTTGTTTTTTTGCCTCTTTTTTGCCCCTAATTCCTAAACTGTTGGTACCATAACCCCTAAAATCAATCCCAACATTCCTTTTGTGGAAAATATGCCACGATTGCAGCATGTGCGTTATATTTAACGCTTAATACAATTTCTGTATATTCAATGTGATATTAATGAATGAAAAGCGTAATTACCAAAATAACCAGAGAAAAATTTACAAATACCTTGAACTTTGAGCAACAAATATTATTCTTGACAAATTGATGAGTAGGCAAGTGCCTACATTGCCTATAGGTGGCTACATCACTGATAGCCTCTGTTTAATTCATTCACAACATGTTAGACTTTAACAGATTTATAGCTACCAGTAGACATATTGTATTGACACCTGTCTATTGTTAATGATTATTTGACCTCAATTTTGTGTTATTTGTGTTGCTGGGTTGCTGTTTCACTGAGGTAAAGCCTACATCTCCTTTTATTCATACATTTTTTAAGTGAATTATGTCATTCTATATAACTTCATTATAATCTTACTTTTACATAGTTGCTAACCAGTAGCAGGATATTGGATTTAAAAAATACTAGGTCATGTGTGTAATCATATTAATTCGGTTATGATGTAAATACCTAACACAATTTAAGGACAGTGATGTAATGATTTAAAAATATCTAAATAAAACTATCTTATTTTGTAAATAATTCAATTTAGACTTGAATAAAGCAAGTTTAGTTCTATCATGTCACATAAATACTAAAATCTGAGCTCAATTTTGGGTCTTCCGTCAATGGGTCATTATGAACTGTTAAAAAATTGTACAGTATAAATGTTAAACAACTAATCAATAAAGGTTTAAGTGAAAAAAGCTGTTAAAATGAGCTAACATGTAATATTCTTTATAGCCTTTTAGAAAAATGAACCTAAATAATTTTATCTATTGATATTACTTCAAAGTAAACTCCAATTTGAAAACAAATCTGATGACATAACCTAATATATATACATCTGTGTGTTTGAATAGCAAGGCTGATCATCTACCAATGTTAAACAATACAAAAGCTCTACAATATGTTAAGGAAAAATTCAATAAATTCTAGTTGGCATGAGAACAGAAAGTATGGTTTCAACGTCATAAGATTTTCTAATTAAATTCCTGAATAGAAGTACATTGCCATGAAAAAAATAAGGACACTAGCTTCCTGATGCTGTCTACTCAATATCATTTCCTTCTAAATGGCTTTGTTAGCTTATAATAAATATTTGCACTAATCCTATAACCACATCTTTTTGTTGTTGTTGATCTTTTGCTTTAATTTACTACAGTCTTCTTGTGTTGGCTCAACTGACATATATGACTAATGGTAAAAAATAGACAAGTATTGAACCCCAAAATGGCTCCTTAATTAAACAAGAGGCTCCCAAGAGCTGGAATTTCACCTGCCATTTTGATATTTATTTGACTTTAATTGCAATCAGTTATTATAACACGAGTGCACACGGTGAAATGTCTCGCTTGCTTTACTGACCATTGATTTTATGTTGAAAGTCTTAAAGATAAAGGTTTTACTAAACATGCTAAAAGCATTACAGAAACTTGACATTGAGGTCAAGGTAAGATAAATTGTGTCAGACAGACATATACACTTTATAATTTTTTTATTCACAGAATATAGTTGACCTATTGCATATATTAATTGAAAAACAGACCAAAACACAAAATCTTAACATTGACCAAAGAACCATGAAAATGAGGTCAAGGTCAGATGATACCTGCCAGACAGACATGTACACCTCACAATCATTCCATACACCAAATATAGTTGACTTATAGCTTATAGTACTTGAAAAACAGACAAAAACACATACACTTAACATAGAGCAATGAACCATGAAAATACATGCATTAGAGTATGGGTTTTGCTTACTGTTGAAGGCCCAATTGTGAACTATAGTTGCTCACATCAACATCATTTTGCACTTTGCTGGTCAGTTGTCTCATTGGCAATCCTAACATATCTCCTTATTTTTATACTGTAAACAATTTCCCTATGTTGAAATATTTCATACCTTCTCCAGATAATAAAACTTTTATTTATGTTTAGTCGAGTACATCAATAAATTTTCACTTGTCAGTTTTACACATACTCATTTAGAAATCATTAGATTCAGTTATACATGGTAATCTAATAAAAAGCTACATCAATTTACAAGTCAGATTTCTGCTCGGTTTTCTAAATACTATTCAAATGTAAGGAACTTTAAATCTGACACAACAGTTCAATAAGAAATTAAAATGTATTTAAGACAGCAACAATACCAGCACTGTAAACATGAAATTTCTCTACAGGATGCTGTTCGAAAAGGATAAGCATAATTTTGCAAAATTCAATTAATTATTTCAAAGTACATAAAGCTTTAATATTAATCAAACTTGGCTGATATTCAAATTTAATCGCAGCAATTATTTAATCCAGATACAGTTAAAAAGTTACAAACATGACACATTAGCAAAACATCAACAAATTAATGGGGAATTCAGCAATTTTTCTATATGTAACGGGGCATAACTCTAGAACAATAAAAGTGACATCCCCAAAGTTCAAACTTGATCTGTATTTTGTGGTAATAAGCATTGTGTAAAAGTTTCATAACATTTGGTTGAGGCTAACTTAAGTTAGAGAACGGAAACGGAAAATTCAGCAATTTTTCCATTTGTAAAGGGGCATAACTCTAGAACAGTTTAAGTGACACCCCAATATTAAACCTTGATCTGTGTTTTGTAGTAATAAGCATTGTGTATAAGTTTCATAACATTTGGTCGAAGGCTAACTTAAGTAAGAGAACGGAAACGAAAAATTCAGCAATTTTTCCATTCGTAAAGGGGCATAACTCTAGAACGGTTATAGTCACGCCACAAAAATTAAATCTTGATCTGTGTGTTGATGTAATAAGCATTGTGTATAAGTTTCATAACATTTGGTTGAGGCAAACTAAAGTTAGAGAACAGAAACAAAAAATTCAGCAATTTTACCATTAGTAAAGGGGCATAACTCTAGAACGGTTGAGATGACGCCACCAAATTTCAAATTTGATCTGTGTTTTGTGGTAAAGAGCATTGTGTATAAGTTTCATAACATTTGGTTGAGGCAAACTAAAGTTAGAGAACGGAAACCAACTTTGGGACGTACGTATGGACGTACAGACGGACAAGGGTAAAACTTAATGCCCCCTCCACTACGGCGGGGGCATAAAAACCTAAGTGGTTCCGCAGAACCAAGTGTCTCGCATGCGAATGCTGATACCAGTTTATATCCATTTATCATTAAAATACAGAATTTTTCTAAAAAATCTAATTTTTCTTAAATGCTATATCTCGGTCTTGAAGATTAGCTTCTGTCCCAGTCTCATAATAATCCATGAAGGTTGACAAATTTATCATGTCAAATAAATTTAATCCCAGACTGTCTTTAAATGTTTACTGTAAAAAACTAAGTCCATCTATCACAAAAATACTGAAAATGAAAGTAGATGTGTTGGAACGACACGAATGGCCCCACCTGCAAAAAAAGCTTGAAGATTTGTAGGAGTGGAAATTTGAGAATGAAAATCAGTATAACTGTTATTTTCACAAAATTTTCAAAAACCATTGTTGCGAGGCCATAAACAATATATTTTCAAAAGTTTGCCTCAGACATTATCTCTTAATCATAAAAAAGCTTCTGCTAAAGTTTTCATAAAATTCTATGAAGCTTTGACAAGGTAATTGATGTGTAATAAACTTCAACAGAAACTTAACATTTTTAAAATTCTATGACAATGAGGTCATGGTCAGATAATACAGACATATACACCTTACAATTTTTTTATTCACTAAATATAGTTGACCTATTGCATATGCTAATTGAAAAACAAACCAAAACACAAAAACTTAACATTTGACCATTGAACCATAAAAATGAGGTCAAGGTCAGATGATACCTTCCTGACAGACATGTGGACCTTACAATTATTCCAAACACCAAATATAGCTGACCTATTGCTATTAGTATTTGAAAAAAACACCAAAACAAAATAACTTAACATTTGACCATTGAACCATAAAAATGAGGTCAAGGTCAGATGATACCTTCCTGACAGACATGTAGGCCTTACAATCATTCCATACACCAAATATAGTTGACCTATTGCTTATAATACTTAAACAAGAGTGCACATGCTGAAATGTCTCGCCTACAGTACTATACTGACCATTGATTTTATGTTGATAGTCTTACACATATAAAGTTTTACTACAAGTATCACATTAACATTTATGATCCAAGAAAATGAGGTCAAGGTCAGATAAACCAAGCCGGAAATACATGTACACCTTTTATACAATCATTCCACACACAGAATATTGATGACTTATTGCTATTAGTATAAAAGAAACAGACAAAACCATGGAAATTCTATATTGACCAATGAACCATGAAAATGAAGTCAAGGTCAGATGAACCTGCTAGACAGACATGTACACCTTTAATCAATCCATGGATCAAATATAGTTGACCTATTGCTTATAGTATCTAAGAAACAAAGTTAACCAGGAAAACTGAACATTGACCAATGAACCATGAAAATGAGGTGAAGGTCGGATGATACCTATCAGACAGACATATACACCTTACAATCAATCCATACACCAAATATAGTTGACCTATTGCTTAAAGTTTAAGAAACAGACCAAAACACAAAAACTTAACACTGAGCAATGAACCGTGAAAATGAGGTCAAGGTCAAATAAAACCTGCCAGACTGACATGTATATCGTAAAATATTTCAATACACCAAATATAGTTGACCTACTGCATACAGTATTAGAAAAACAGACCAAAACACAATAAATTGCTTCACTGAATGCAGCTGGATAGGACCGCAGAGGTCCAACCCTGAACAGTTGGGGCAAAAATGGACACAATATTCGTGCTTGATACAGGTCTGAATTTGGGATTCTAATTAAATATTTGACACATAATAGGTTTCTGACACAGAATAACTGTAGTCAAAGAATTGGTTATATGATTTAAATTGATATTCAATTTTCTGCTTTTGTGCAATACACTATACTGTTGCGAATTGATCCCCCCCCCAAAAAAATTTCTTTTTGATTTCTGAAATCTTGAGGAGAAAAAATTGAAAATGACATACATAATCATGGCTAAAATTAATATTCCTTAATCAGCATTTTTAAATAGTAACTTCTAAAAATGAATTGACAGCTAATCACCTCAAGACAATAAAACATTTCTTTATACATAATTCAAAAGCAGTGTAAGGGAGGTAATCCAAACATAACATTGTACTTTTTTTTAATTGTCCATTAATCAGGAAACCCTTGTTTTCCCTCTTTTTTATTCCCTTATTCCTAAACAGTTTGAGCCATAACCCCCCAAAGCCAATCCTAACCATCCCTTTGTGATATGGAAACTTGTGGTATAATTTCAGAGAGATCCATACACTGTTCCACAGGTTATTGTCTGGAAACTAGAATAAACTGCTTCGCTGCATGAGCACAGCTGGGTACGCCCGCAGAGGTCCAACCCTGAACAGTTAGGGCAAAAAAGGACACAATATTCAAGTTTGATACAGGTCTGAATTTGGATTGTAATTAAATATTTGACATACATGTATTAAAGGTTTCTGAATAAATGAGGTCAAAGAATTCGAAATTGGTTATATGAATTGAATTTATATTCAATTAAAGATTTCTTGCTGTTGTGCAAAACACTGTGCTGTTGCACATTACTTAGTAAATCTGTTGTCAGACTATAAACAAATAAGTTCAATTAATTCTAAATGTCATATTAGAAATTTATGAAAATCAAAAGGGAGCTAACATCAATAGAAATAAACAATTCGCCAAAGTTTCATGAGAATTGCTGACAGCATTTTTGAGTTATTGTCTGAAAACTGGGAAATCCCCCCCCCCTTTTTTTAATGAATAAAACCCAATAACTCAGAAATTTAAAATGTAAAATTTATAAAATTCTAAAGGGAGGTTACATCAATAGATATTAACAATTCACCAAAGTTTCATAAAAACTGCTGAAAGCATTCTTAAGTTATTGTCCAAAAACTGGAAATCCCCCCTTTTTTAATGATTAAAACCCCATATCTCGGAAACGTAAAATCTAAAATTTATAAAAAACGAAAGGGAGCTCATGTCAATAGATATAAACAATTCACCAAAGTTTTATGCAAATTGGTTAAAGCATTTTTGAGTCAATGTCAGACATAATGACGACGGACAGACTGACAACTAAGTTGTGACGGAGTGACAACGGTATACCATAATATGTCCCGTAAATGGGCATATAAAAATGCTTATTTTTTGCGATCGTATAAAAACTCAACTATTACCCCTGAACCATGAAAATGAGGTCAAGGTCAGATGACACCTGCCAGTTGGACATGTACACCTTACAATCATTACATACACCAAATATAGTAGACCTGTTGTTTATAGTATCTGAGATATGGACTTGACTACGAAAACTTAATCTTGTTCACTGATCCATGAAATGAGATTGAGGTCAAGTGAAAACTGTCCGATAGGCATGAGGACCTTGCAAGGTATGCACATACCTAATATAGTTATCCTATTACTCATAATAAAAGGAAATTAACATTACAAAAAATCTTAACTTTTTTTTTCAAGTAGTCACTGAACCATGAAAATGAGGTCAAGGACAATGGACATATGACAGATGGAAACTTCATATGATAAGGCATCTATATACAAAGTATGAAGCATCCAGGTCTTCTATCTTCTGAAACATTAAGCTTTTAAAAAGTTTGTTAACGCCGCCGCCGGATCACTATCCCTATATTGCGCTTTCTGCAACCCTGAACAGTGGGGAAATAAAATGCTCCGCTGCGGCGCAGCTTGATACGACCGCAGAGGTCGAACCCTGAACAGTTGGGGCAAGTATGGACACAACATTCAAGCTTGATACAGCTCTGAATTTGGATTGTGATTAAATATTTGACACAGCATAGGTTTCTGACACAGAATGAATGTGGTCTAAGAACTTAAAAATTTAAATTTACCTATTATGGTCCAATATCCAAAATCTAAATACATGGTTAGATTCAGCATATCAAAGAACCCCATATATTCAATTTTTGTTAAAATCAAACAAAGTTTAATTTTGGACCCCAACTTGGAAAAACTTGAAAACTGGGCCCATAATCAAAAATATAAACACATGTTTAGATTCAGCATATCAAAGAACCCCAAGAATTCAATTTTTGCTAAAATCAAACTAAGTTTAATTTTGGACCCTTTGGACCTTAATGTAGACCAATTTAAAAAACGGGACTTAAAATTAAAAATCTAAATACACGGTTAGATTTGGAATATCAAAGAACCCCAAAAATTCAATTTTTGATGAAATCAAACAAAGTTTAATTTTGGACCCTTTTGACCTCAATATGAACCAATTTGATAGCATGGCCCACAAATAAAAAATCTAAATTCATGGTTAGATTCAGCATATCAAAGAACCCCATATATTCAATTTTTGTTGAAATCAAAAAAAGTTTAATTTTGGACCCCAACTTGGACCAACTTGAAAACTGGCCCCATAATCAAAAATCTAAACACATGTTTAGATTCAGCATATCAAAGAACCCCAAGAATTCAATTTTTGTTAAAATCAAACTAAGTTTAATTTTGGACCCTTTGGACCTTAATGTAAACCAATTTAAATAAAATGCTTCGCTGGGCGCAGCTTGATACGACCGCAGAGGTTGAACCCTGAACAGTTGGGGCAAGTATGGACACAACATTCAAGCTTGATACAGCTCTGAATTTGGATTGTGATTAAATATTTGACACAGCATAGGTTTCTGACACAGAAAGAATGTTGTCTAAGAACTTCAATTTTTTTAATTTACCTATTATGGTCCAATGTCCAAAATCAAAATACATGGTTAGATTCAGCATATCAAAGAACCCCATATATTCAATTTTTGTTGAAATCAAACAAAGTTTAATTTTGGACCCCGACTTGGACAAACTTGAAAACTGGTCCCATAATCAAAAATCTAAACACATGTTTAGATTCAGCATATCAAAGTACCCCAAGAATTCAATTTTTGTTAAAATCAAACTAAGTTTAATTTTGGACCCTTTGGACCTTAATGTAGACCAATTTAAAAAACGGGACCCAAAATTAAAAATCTAAAAACACGGTTAGATTTGGCATATCAAAGAACCCCAATAATTCAATTTTTGATGAAATCAAACAAAGTTTAATTTTGGACCCTTTTGACCTCGATATGAACCAATTTGATAGCAGGCCCACAAAATAAAAAATCTAAATACATGGTAAGATTCAGCATATCAAAGAACCCCATATATTCAATTTTTGTTGAAATCAAACAAAGTTTCATTTTGGACCCCAATTTGGACCAACTTGAAAACTGGGCCAAAAATCTAAAATCTAAATACATGTTTAGATTCAGCATATCAAAGAACCCCATATATTCAATTTTTGTTGAAATCAAACAAAGTTTAATTTTGGACCCCAACTTGGACCAACTTGAAAACTGGTCCCATAATCAAAAATCTAAACACATGTTTAGATTCAGCATATCAAAGAACCCCAAAAATTCAATTTTTGTTAAAATCAAACTAAGTTTAATTTTGGACCCTTTGGACCTTAATGTAGACCAATTTAAAAAACAGGACCCAAAATTAAAAATCTAAATACACGGTTAGATTTGGCATATCAAAGAACCCCAATAATTAAATTTTTGATGAAATCAAACAAAGTTTAATTTTGGACCCTTTTGACCTCAATATGAACCAATTTGATAGCGGGCCCACAAATAAAAAATCTAAATACATGGTAAGATTCAGCATATCAAAGAACCCCATATATTCAATTTTTGTTGAAATCAAACAAAGTTTAATTTTGGACCCCAATTTAGACCAACTTGAAAACTGGGCCAAAAATCTAAAATCTAAATACATGTTTAGATTCAGCATATCAAAGAACCCCATATATTCAATTTTTGTTGAAATCAAACAAAGTTTAATTTTGGACCCCAACTTGGACCAACTTGAAAACTGGGCCCATAATCAAAAATCTAAACACATGTTTAGATTCAGCATATCAAAGAACCCCAAGAATTCAATTTTTGTTAAAATCAAACTAAGTTTAATTTTGGACCCTTTGGACCTTAATGTAGACCAATTTAAAAACGGGACCCAAAATTAAAAATCTAAATACACGGTTAGATTTGGCATATCAAAGAACCCCAATAATTCAATTTTAGATGAAATCAAACAAAGTTTAATTTTGGACCCTTTTGACCTCAATATGAACCAATTTGATAGCGGATCCACAAATAAAAAATCTAAATACATGGTTAGATTCAGTATATCAAAGAACCCCAAGAATTCAATTTTTGATGAAATCAAACAAAGTTTAATTTTGGACCCTTTTGACCTCAATGTGGATAAAGTTGATAAAGGGGCCCAAAAATCAAAAATCTAAATACATGGTTAGATTCAGCATATCAAAGAACCCCATATATTCAATTTTTGTTGAAATCAAACAAAGTTTAATTTTGGACCCCGATTTGGACCAACTTGAAAACTGGGCCCATAATCAAAAATCTAAATACATGTTTAGATTCAGCATATCAAAGTACCCTAAAAATTCAATTTTTGTTAAAATCAAACTAAGTTTAATTTTGGACCCTTTTGACCTTAATGTAGACCAATTTGAAAACGGAACCAAAAATTAAGAATCTAAATACACGGTTAGATTCGGCATATCAAAGAACCCCAATAATTCAATTTTTGATGAAATCAAACAAAGTTAAATTTTGGACCCTTTGGACCTCAATGTGGACCAATTTAAAAACGGGGCCCAAAATCCAAAAACTTAATACACGGTTAGATTCAGCATATTAAAGAACCCCAAGAATTCAAGAATAAAACCCCATTGAAATTGATCAAGAAATAAGCAATTTATACGAAGTATCTTCTTTTGCACAATACTGTGCAATTGAATATTTCTTGCTATTGTGCAATACTGTACAATTGACAATTTCTTGCTATTGCGCAATATTGTGCTCTTGGATATTTCTTGCTATTGCGCAATACTGTGCAATTGAAGATTTCTTGCTATTGCGCAATACTGTGCAATTGAAGATTTCTTGCAATTGTGCAATACTGTGCAATTGAAAATTTCTTGCTATTGCACAATACTTATTATATAATAATTTACACATCCTGTTTGGTGTGTATCTCCTACCATATCATTATTATTTGCTTTTAAATATTAATCAGAAATAACCAACTTAAAATGGAAAATTTTAAAAGAAAAAAAAAAGGAAAAAAAGAAAAAAAAAGAAAAAAAAAAATCCCCCCCCCCAAATTTTTTGAACCCCCTTATGATTCATCACCCCCAAACTCAATCCCAGCCTTCCCTTTGTGGTATGGTACCTTGCAGTACAATTTCAGAGAGATCCATACACTTGAACACAAGTTATTGTCTGGAAACTAGAAAAATGCTTATTTTTGGCCCCTTTTTGGCCCCCAATTCCTAAACGTTTCGGGCAATTACCCCCAAACTCAATTCCAGCTTTCCCTTTGTGATATGGAACCTTGTAGTACAATTTCAGAAATATCCAAATACTTACACACAAGTTATTGTCATGAAACTAGAAAAATGCTTGTTTTTTGCCCCTTTTTTGGCCCCTAATTCCTAAAATTTTGAGGCAATTACCCCCAAAATCAATTACAGCCTTCCCTTTGTGATATGGAACCTTGTGGTACAATGTCAGAGAGATCCATACACTTACACACAAGTTATTGTCTGGAAGTTACAAAAATGCTTATTTTTGGCCCCTTTTTGGCCCCTAATTCCTTAACTGTTGATACCATAACCCCCAAAATCAATCCCCACCTTCCTTTCGTGGTATTGAACCTTATGGTAAAATTTCATGGAGATCCATTCACTTAAACTAAAGTTAGAGTGCGAAAACCAATGTGTCTTCGGACGACGCCGGACGACGCCAGACGACGACGACGACGACGACGACGACGACAACGACGACGACGACGACGACGACGACGCCAACGTCATACCAATATACGACCAAAAAATTTTCAATTTTTGCGGTCGTATAAAAACAGGACCCAAAATTAAAAATCTAAATACACGGTTAGATTTGGAATATCAAAGAACCCCAATAATTCAATTTTAGATGAAATCAAACAAAGTTTAATTTTGGACCCTTTTGACCTCAATATGAACCAATTTGACAACGGGGTCCACAAATAAAAAATCTAAATACATGGTTAGATTCAGCATATCAAAGAACCCCATATATTCAATTTTTGCTAAAATCAAACAAAGTTTAATTTTGGACCCTTTGGACCTTAATGTAGACCAATTTGAAAACTGGACCCAAAATTAACAATCTAAATACACTGTTAGATCCGGCATAACAAATAAATAAATGTGATCAAAGATTTTACAAATCTAATGCGCCATACTATGCAATTAAAGATTACTTATTGAAATTTTTCAATATTTGAAATTTGAAAAAAAAATAATATTTGAAGAATATTTTTTTTTAATTTCTGAAATCTGAAATGAGAAAAAATTGACCCCCCCACAATTTCTTTTTATCCCCCCCCCCTTTTTTCCCCCAAAAAATTCTTTCCCTCAAGATATGGTCATAATCTCAATTCAAATTTCCAATGGAGTTGGCAACCATAATTACCCATTTAAATTTACCATAGTGCTAACTTAATCTATTTTATAATAGAATTAAAAATATAGTGTCAAATCTTTCATATGGATTTTTTTGTAAAAAAAAAAAGATGCAACATTTGCAGATATTTTTACTGGTCTTCCTTTATAAATATGCATTTCTTTAAACATAATTTAAAAGCAGTGTAAGGGAAGTAACCAAAACGTATTTGGATTACCTCCCTTACACTGTTTTAAATTATCTTTATTGTTCATTAACCATTACTTTATACATAATTTAAAAGCAGTGTAAGGGAGATAATTTCAATGATGTATTTGATTTATCTCCCTTACACTGCTTTAAATTATGTTTTGTACTAAAGTATTTGTCCATTAACAAGGACAACCTTGTTTTTTCCCCTTTTCGCCCCTAATTCCTAAACGGTTTGAGCCATAACCCCCCAAAGCAAATCCTAACCATCCCTTTGTGGTATGGAAACTTGTAGTATAATTTCAGAGAGATCCATACACCGTTCCACAGTTATTGTCTGGAAACTAGAAAATGCTTATTTTTGGCCCCTTTTTGTCCCCTAATTCCTTAACTGTTGGTACCATAACCCCCAAAATCAATCCCAACCTTCCTTTTGTGGTATTTAACCTTATGGTCAATTTTCAAAAAGATCCATTCACTTAAACTAAAGTTAGAGTGCGAAAACCAATGTGTCTTTGGACGACGACGACGACGCCAACGCCATACCAATATACGACCACAAAATGTTTTTCGGTCGTATAAAAATGCTTGTTTTTTGCCCCTTTTTGGCCCCTAATTTCAAAAATTTTGAGGCAATTACCCCCAAAATCAATCCCAGCCTTCCCTTTGTGGTATGGTACCTTGCAGTATAATTTCAGAGAGATCCATACACTTGAACACAAGTTATTGTCTGGAAACTAGAAAAATGCTTATTTTTGGCCCCTTATTCCTAAATGTTTTGGACAATTACCCCCAAACTCAATTCCAGCTTTCCCTTTGTGATATGGAACCTTGTAGTACAATTTCAGAAATATCCATAGACTTACACACAAGTTATTGTCATGAAATTAGAAAAATGCTTGTTTTTTGCCCCTTTTTTAGCCCCTAATTCCTAAAATTTTGAGACAATTACCCCCAAAATCAATCAAAGCATTCCCTTTGTGATATGGAACTTTGTGGTACAATGTCAGAGAGATCCATACACTAACACACAAGTTATTGTCTGGAAGTTACAAAAATGCTTATTTTTGGCCCCTTTTGGCCCCTAATTCCTTAACTGTTGGTACCATAACCCCCAAAATCAATCCCAACCTTCCTTTTGTGGTATTGAACCTTATGGTAAAATTTCATAGAGATCCATCCACTTAAACTAAAGTTAGAGTGCGAAAACCAATGTGTCTTCGGACGACGAAGACGACGGCAACGCCAACGTCATACCAATATACGACCACAAAATTTTTTTGCGGTCGTATAAAAACTTAACATTTAGGTCTTCCTTTATAAATATGCATTTCTTTAAACATAATTTAAAAGCAGTGTAAGGGAAGTAATCAAAACGTTGTATTTAGATTACCTCCCTTACACTGTTTTAAATTGTCTTAATTGTTCATTAACCATTACTTTATACATAATTTAAAAGCAGTGTAAGGGAGGTAATTCAAATATTGTATTTGATTTATCTCCCTAACACTGCTTTAAATTATGTTTTGAACTAAAGTATTTGACCAGGACAACCTTGTTTTTTCCCCCTTTTTTGCCTCTAATTCCTAAACGGTTTGAGCTATAACCCCCCAAAGCAAATCCTAACCATCCCTTTGTGGTATGGAAACTTGTGGTATAATTTCAGAGAGATCCATACACCGTTCCACAAGTTATTGTCTGGAAACTAGAAAATGCTTATTTTTGGCCCTTTTTGGCCCCTAATTCCTTAACTGTTGGTACCATAACCCCCAAAATCCCAACCTTCCTTTTGTGGTATTGTACCTTATGGTAAAATTTCATAGAGATCAATTCACTTAAACTAAAGTTAGAGTGCGAAAACCAATGTGTCTTCGGAAGACGACGACAACGACGACGACAACGACGACGCCAACGTCATACCAATATACGACCCCAAAATTTTTTTGCGTTCGTAGAAAAAATGGACACAATATTCGCGCTTGATACAGGTCTGAATTTGGATTGTAATTCAATATTTGACACATAATAGGTTTCTGACACAGAATAACTGTAGTCAAAGAACTTAGAATTGGTTATATGATTTGAATTTATATTCAATTTTTTGCTTTTGTGCAATACACTATACTGTTGCGAATTGACCTCCCCTCTCCCTTTTTTTTTCAAAAAAAAAAATTGAAGGATTTTCTTTTTGATTTCTGAAATCTTGAGGAGAAAAAATTGTCTCCCCCCCCCCCCCCCCCCCCCGGCACCAATTTTTTTTTTACCCCCCCCCCCCCCCCCCCCCCCTCAGTCATGGTCATAATTTCAATTCAAATTTCTAATAGAGTTTGCAACCATAATAACCCATTTAAATACATCATACGTATTACGTCTTAAAATAGAAAATGACATACATAACAAGAAATGATTGTAACAGGATGCTGTTATGAAGTCTCCCAAACGAAGCTCCTATAATTCGTAATTCCAAGAGTTGCCTGACACTGGCCAAAGTCCACTGAAAATTGGTTTGGTCCAGTAAAGTTATATGCATTAATGATGCCTGGGGACTAACCCTGTTCATTCAAATCATCTTGGCATGACAAACCTGAATATATATGGTTTAGGGGTGGGGATCCCGACCATTAACAAGATATTACAACATTGGGGGTGGGGGTAACCCCTGGGGACTGACCCTATATGTCATTCAAATGTTCAAGACATGACGAACAGGAACATATATGGTTTAGGGGTGGGGATCTCGACCATTTACAAGATATTAAAACATTGGGGGTGGGGGGAACCCCTGGGGACTGACCCTATATGTCATTCAAATATTCGAGATATGACGAACAGAAATATATATGGTTTAGGGGTGGGGATCTCTACCATTTACAAGATATTACAACATTGGGGGTGGGGGTAACCCCTGGGGACTGACCCTATACGTCATTCAAATGTTCAAGACATGACGAACAGGAATATATATGGTTTAGGGGTGGGGATCTCGACCATTTACAAGATATTAAAACATTGGGGGTGGGGGGAACCCCTGGGGACTGACCCTATATGTCATTCAAATATTGGAAACATGACGAACAGGAATATATATGGTTTAGGGGTGGGGATCTCGACCATTAACAAGATATTAGAATATTGGGGGTGGGGGAACCCCTGGGGACGGACCCTATATGTCATTCAAACGTTCAAGACATGACGAACAGGAATATATATGGTTTAGGGGTGGGGATCTCGACCATTTACAAGATATTAGAATTTTCTGAAATGGCAGGGGTTCGGGATGATCCCTGGAGACTAACCCTGTATAACTTCAAACCATCTTTGCATGACAAACCAGAATATATATGGTTTAGGGGTGGGGATCTTGACCACTTACAAGATATTAGAACTTTCTTAAATGGCAGGGGGTAGGGGTGACCCCTGGGGACTAACCCTGTATTTCATTTAATGTGCTTTATCATTTAGAACATTTTCAATTAAAAAGATTGTGTCTATCACAAACTGTTTTCAATTTATAATCATTTGAAAATTTTAAAAAATAAAATCCCATAGGGTTCTTTAGTAAAACCCTCCTTTCGTTTTGCCCCTCAAAGTACCCCTTTATAAACCCCATTGCACAAACAAAAACCTGATTGCACCAATATACATGTTAGTCGTACATATTGTGAAACCCTAAGTTAATCTAGAGAACAGGTGCGGACAAGTTCAAATTTAAAAGCGGCTGAAGAGAAAGAAGAAGAAGAATGTATTTACTTATTTCTATGAGAATTTGAATGTATTTACTTATTATTATGAGAATTTGAATGCATTTACTTATTTTGAGAATTTGAATATATTTACTTATTATTATGAAAATTTGAATGTATTTACTTATTATTATGAGAATTTGAATGTATTTACTTATTTTGAGAATTTGAATATATTTACTTATTATTATGAGAATTTGAATGTATTTGCTTATTATTATGAGAATTTGAATGTTTATTTACTTATTATTATGAGAATTTGAATGTATTTACTTATTATTATGAGAATTTGAATGTATTTTCTTATTATTATGAGAATTTGAATGTTTATTTACTTATTTTTATCAGTTTTCAATTTTCAACATGTAGTGTTGTTTTAAACATTCCTAATTATACCAGTCAGGAAATGCAAAAACTCATTTTCTTAATGGAATTTCTGAATTTAAAATTTATTAAAATTTAGCACGACAATTGGTGCACAAACTTTGTGCTCTCATGTTTATACCTTCTGTGAAACAAAACATCAACATTAGCAAGGTTAAAGTGTTCATCTTGTTTACCTGTGGAACTTGTTCTATAATTTATCCCTCTCTCTCTCCCTCTGGAAAAACACAGATAAAAAACATAACATCATTGCCTTGTACATGAATGCATAGCTTATCCCTCCATCAAGTCTCAAAATTCCTTAAATCCATTTTTATCAGCAAAACACAAAGATTTTCCAAACATATTTGACAATCCTCTAAATTTTGTTCTAAATTTAAACCAATAAAATATTGAAATCCAGCCATTTTGACATTAGTTATCATAGTCATAATTCTGCTAAAAAATCAAACATTTTCAACATAAAATATTTATGAATAGCTTCAACTTAAGACCTTATCCAATACATTCTTATTTGTAGCCTTGTACAAAAAAAATAATTATGCAAACATCAGCTCAAGGCCAATTTCATATCTAAAAGGGGGCACACCAAGTACATAGCCAATTATAGGTTTCAGGTTTAAATAAACAAGAGGCTCCAAAAGCTCTTTATTGTTCACCTGGCATTTTTGCATTAAATTGATACAATGCACTACAAACATTTGTGTTAAATGCATGGACAGTGGCGGATCCAGAAATTTTCATAAGAGGGGGCCCACTGACTGCCTAAGAGGGGGCCCGCTCCAGTCATGCTTCAGTGATTCCCTATATAATCAATTAAATTTTTCCCACAAAAGGGGGGCACGTGCCCTCTGAAAAACCCTCTAAATCCGCCCCTGATGGAAGCAAAAATTTTGTCTTGATTATCATTTTTGCTAGACTGTATTGTTTCAAGATAATAGGCAAATATGAAAACAAGAAGCACACCTGCAGGGGTTCAAATTTACTTTTAGCAATGGAAGGTCCAGGACTTTAGACTAAAGACACTTAAAGGTCCTCCTTTATTCTTAAGTCCATTTTTTATTGAAAATTCAATTTATAAAAACAGAAAAAGCTTACTTTAACAAAACACCCATCATATCTTACTTAATTAACCTCATTTTTTTTCTGAATTTCTTTAATAAATTCAGTCAGGGTTCCCCTTTTTCCAACACTATATGCTGTGTTAAATAACACTGTACCTTTATAATTGAATTCGTTTGGTTTCAATTGCTTCATAAGAACACTGGGGCTAGCTTTGTGTCAGATAACAGCTCAACTTCGTCTTCAAACTTGGGGTCAGTTTCTTTTAACCACTTTTTTTGGTAAGATACATAGATGCTGGGTGGTTATTTTTCCTCATGATTTTTTATGGGTCAAGTTTTAATTTTTTTGTCAAACGAACCAGGGCACTTTCTCTTTCACTGATTGTGGGAAAATTTACATTCTTGTTTTTCCCTGACGTAGTTTTGGTCTTTAGTCAAAGAGTAAGTTAGAGAACTGAAATGAAAATTCAGCAATTTTTCCTTTTGTAAAGGAGCATAACTCTAGAACAGTAAAAGTTAAACGCCACCAAAATTCAAACTTGATCTCTGTTATTTGGTAATAAGCAAAATAACATTTGGTTGATGCAAACTCAAGTTAGAGAACAGAAACGAAAAATTCACCAATTTTTCCATTTATAAAGGGGCATAACTCTAGAACAGTTAATGTGACGCCACCAAAATTCAAACTTGATCTGTGTTTTGTGGTAATAAGTACAAATGTATTGTGTATAAGTAACATAACATTTGGTTGAGGCAAACTAAAGTTAGAGAAGGGAAACCAACTTTGGGACGTACGGACGGACAAGGGTAAAACTGAATGCCCCCTCCCCTGCGTGGGCATAAAAATTTTTTAAATACAAATGGATCTTTCAGGGGCAACAACTCAAGAACAATTAATTAGATTTTTCTCCAACTTTATGGTTGGATATGTCTTGTCATGCTGATCATTTTTGAAATTTACACTTTTAAACTAGCTCGTTAAGTTTTTGAAACAATTCTACAGAAAATACCAAAAAAGTTAAAAATAAATGCAGAATGTGTCCATGGGACACAGATACCCCGTTTGTAAAAATACTGCAATTCTGAAATTTTTAAATTTACAAAGGGACATAACTCTAGAACAGCAAAAGTGAAGCAACCCAAATTCGAAAACTTGATCTGTGTTTGGTGGAAATAAGCATTGTGTATAAGTTTTATAACATTTGGTTGAGGCAAACTAAAGTAAGAGTGCGGAAACAGCAAATTTAGCAAATGAGCGCATGATACGCCTGTCGCTTTTTCAAAGAATAACTCCTCAATATCATTTCAGAAAATTTAAAAAAAACTTAAGGTAGGTTATAATAGATATAAACCAGTCACCAAAGTTTCAAGAAAACTGCTCAAAGTCAGTGGGCCCCCCCATATGAAAAATTCTGGATCTGACACTGTTACCTGACTTTGGTATGTATCCCCCAGCCCATGATGCAACTGCATACCAAGTTTGGTTGATGTAAGTTTTGCGGTACAAAAGTAATCAGCCAAACACAAATTAGACAAGGTCTTACTATCACAGAAGTCCAATTTCAAAGTCAAAATCAGACTCATTTGACTTTGCTATATGACACACCCTTAGTTCAGGTAGTATCTGCATACCAAGTTTGATCAAACTAGGTTCAATGGTACAAAAGTTATGTGCCAGACACAAAATGGGATGGATGGATGGAGAGAGACACGGACATGGCGATTCCTTTATACCCCCAAACTTTGTTTGCAGAAGGTTTAATAAAATGCTCCGCTGGGGCGCAGCTTGATACGACCGCAGAGGTCAAACCCTGAACAGTTGGAGCAAGTATGGACACAACATTCAAGATTGATACAGCACTGAATTTGGATTGTAATTAAATATTTGACACAGCATAGGTTTCTGACACAGAATGAATGTGGTCTAAGAACTTAAAAATTTTTAATTTACCTATTCAAACCATATCATTATTATTTGCTTTTATATATAAATCAGAAATAACCAATTTAAAATGGAAAATTTTAAAGAAAAAAAAGGAAACCCCCCCCCCCAATTCTTTGAACCCCCTTATGATTCATCACCCCCAAACTCAATCCCAGCCTTCCCTTTGTGGTATAGTACCTTGCAGTACAATTTCAGAGAGATCCATACACTTGAACACAAGTTATTGTCTGGAAACAAGAAAAATATTTGTTTTTGGCCCCTTTTTGGCCCCAAATTCCTAAACGTTGAGGGCAATTACCCCCAAACTCAAACCCAGCTTTCCCTTTGAGATATGGAACCTTGTAGTACAATTTCATAAAGATCAATACACTTATACACAAGTTATTGTCCTGAAACTAGAAAAATGCTTGTTTTTTTGCCCCTTTATAGCCCCTTATTCCTAAAATTTTGAGGCAATTACCCCTAAATCAATCCCAGCCTTTTCTTTGTGGTATGGTACGTTGCAGTACAATTTCAGAGAGATCCATACACTTGAACACAAGTTATTGTCTGGAAACTAGAAAAATGTGTTTTTTGGCTCCTTTTTGGCCCCTTATTCCTAAACGTTTTGGGCAATAACCCCCAAACTCAATTCCAGCTTTCCCTTTGTAATATGGTACCTTGTAGTACAATTTCATAAAGATATTTGGAGGCAATTACCCCCAAAATCAATCCCAGCATTCCCTTTGTGATATGGAACCTTATGGTACAATGTCAGAGAGATCCATACACTTACACATAAGTTACTGTCATGAAACTAGAAAAATGCTTGTTTTTTGCCCCTTTTTGGCCCCTAATTCCTAAAATTTGGAGGCAATTACCCCCAAAATCAATCCCAGCATTCCCTTTGTGATATGGAACCCTGTGGTACAATGTCACAGAGATCCATACACTAACACACAAGTTATGTCTGGAAGTTACAAAAATGCTTATTTTTGGCCCCTAATTCCTTAACTGTTGGTACCATAACCCCCAAAATCAATCCCAACCTTCCTTTTGTGGTATTGAACCATATGGTAAAATTTCATAGAGATCCATCCACTTAAACTAAAGTTAGAGTGCGAAAACCAATGTGTCTTTGGACGACGACGACGACGCCAATGCCAACATCATACCAATATACGACCGCAAAAATTTTTGCGGTCGTATAAAAAATCGAAATGCTTGTGAGCACTGAGGGATAAAGATTGCTTTCATTTTGCAATTATGTGCATTGAATTATAATTAGATGGGCAAATTATAAATTTGAGCTGGAGTTATCTTCCTTTGTTTATGACTGTACATTTGTAGTTGAGTCTATTTTTTATAACAGATTCATACACCATGAATAACATGTAATTTTCAATAAAGAAAAGTATTGTTATTCAAATACACATCATATTGTAACTTGAATATCCAAGTATAACATATCATTGCATGAAATTGACTGGATAGGATCTAAAGAATGATCACTTCACTGCACTATTTTGTTTGAACTATCAAAGGCAGTGATAAACCTTGGAAGATTTAGATATCAAGTCAGTACATTAGGGTTTTGATTGCATTTCATGCAATCTTTACCCAAAAACACCAAAAGACATCTAGTCTAAGATTAAAATATATCTTATTCAACAAAAGATACAATACTTAAAGCTCTACATTGCCAGCTTAAAAAGTGTGAATAAATTTAACACACACAAACAAATATCTGTCATCAACCCCTTATTAAATACATAAGTTCACAACTCTTGTGTTTTTATTAATACATCTCTATGACAAAATCAAGATGTATGTTTAGAGGAACTGATGTCAAAGAAAAATAAAACAAATCATCAGTTTGATGTTCATTTTGGTTTTTGTTTGTTGATTTGCAAATTGTAGACAAGATCTGATAGCAAAACATATATTAATGACCCACCTGCACAATAACAGGACTCCCTAGTTCAGCAAAAAGTAGGTCATCTGGAACACATTACATAATTTAATGTTTTTGTACTTTGGAGTTTTGGCACATCAAAACCTGTCTTTCAAACTACAAATATAAAAATACCACAAATCATAAAATCAGTAACATGTCTAAAATGGCAGCTGCACAAATTGTCAAGATAGATATCTCAGTTTAACAATCATACCATAGGCCTAAATAGACTTATGTAAGATTCCACTTACCCTAGGGACCCTAATTCATAGAGCCTACTCAGATTTGTTTGTCATTCTGATGAGCACTATTAAAGTCAGACTATTTCCCCTGTTGGAACCAGTAAAATCTTTTATTTGTCTACCTACCAACCCTAATTTTTGTCAGCATGTTGTGTGTATTTTTTACCTCAACCAGACATACATTAAAGTTATAAGGAGTGAGTATTACATAGTACAGACTGTTACCATTAAGAACAATTTAAAAAGTAGCCCTTTGAACATATGATTGAATGCAGCAATGTTCCAAATTTAGTACTAAAGGGTTTACAAAGTTTATGTATTTCCTTGTTGTTAAGATAGATTGGTAGTGAAGAATATATCTGACAGTTGATTACCATACTTGTGTCATTATGTTTTATTATATGTAGCTGTATATAGTTTAATGTCTAACACTCTGTGCTAGATAAATTATTTTCTAACGTGAAAAAAAAACCAACCTTAGTCTTATGCAACCAAACAGAATTATATGTACTACATTAAAATGTTTCCAAACAAAACAAAAACCTTGTTGAAATCTGCAAAGGGAAAAGAACAACCAACAACACAACGAGCACACATCGCAAGCAGCCATGACATTCAGACATGTGTTACAACATCTGTCTATTTAGAAAGTTCATTAACTTTAATAATTTATTCTGATAAGCATGTTTTGTTTATTTGTTAACTGCTGATTTTTTTTTACTTCAAAGCATTTTTTTTTACTAGGAAAATATAAGATACCCAATAATGCAAACCAAACTTTAACAAAGAATAGAGAGTACTATGGACAAAATGAAATGACAAAAACGTACATTTGGAATAAACATTTATTATCCAGATTTTGCCAACAATAATTGTCATTTTTTTAATAACATAACACAAAAGTCAAAGTCATCTACCATAGGAGATCAAATAAAGACCAATTAGAGACAAGTAAATATTTACAGATAGGGAAAATATTAAAATACATTAAAAATTAAAAAAGAGAGATATAATAACCTCTTACCTGACTGTAAACCTCACATCATGTCAATATGCTATAACTTCAGGGCATTTCAACGTGACATACAAACTGAACATAGTGTACTATTACCATTTTTGGATAACTTAATTTTGCAAATTGTAACATTTTCCAAATTAAGAATTTTTACCTATGAGCAGATTGATTATCAAGACACCAAGGTACTAGGCGAGACATTTGCAGAACTATTGGACAACAGAGAGCCCTGTATTGAATATCAACTTAATAAATGGGGAATGTGTCCATGGGACACAAATGATGCCCCCGCTTGCATATGAAGTTATAAAGGGACATAACTCAAGAACAGTAAATGTGAAGCTACCCAAATTCGTACTTGATCTGAGTTTTGTGGTACATGTAATAAGCATTGTGTATAAGTTTCATAACATTTGATAGAAGCAAACTAAATTTAGAGAACGGAAACGAAAAATTCAGCAATTTTCCATTTGTAAAGGGGCATAACTCTAGAACGGTAAAAGTGATGCAAACTTTCAAATAAGCATTGTGTATAAGATTCATAACAGTTGGTTGAGGCAAGCTTAAGTTAGACAAGAGGCTGTCAGAGTGACAGCAAACCAAATTTTTCGGCAGAGGTCGAACCCTGAACAGTTGAGCAAGTATGGACACAACATTTAAGCTTAAAACAGCTCTAAATTTGGATTGTGATTGAATATTTGACACAGTATAGGTTTGTGACACAAAATGAATGTGGTCAAAGAACTGAAAAATTTGAAATCTGAAATTTACCTATTATGGTCCAATATCCAAAATCTAAGAACATTGTTATCATTAGCATATCAAAGAACCCCAAGAGTTCAATTTTTGAAATGTTGATGAAATCAAACAGAAGTTTAATTTAGGATCTTTTGGACCTCAATGGGGTATTATCTAATAATTAATAATGAAAATAAATAAAGGTTTAGATTCAGCTTTTTAAAGAACCCTATATATATTCAATTTATGTTTTTGAAAACTGGGCCCAAAATCAGAAATCTAAATATATGTTTATTAATAGACAAACTTAGCTTAGTTTTTAAAGGAGTTTGCCTCATCAAAAAAAATATATATATAAAATTCAGAAAATAAGTTTATACAGAATAACAAACAAACCAACCACAAAATTCTTCAAACAATTTACAAAGGAAAAGATGAAAAAAAATCCAAAATGTCATTCATCGTTAATACAATATATCTGATAATAAATGAGGTCAAGGACAATGGACATATGACAGATGGAAACTTCATATGATAAGGCATCTATATACAAAGTATGAAGCATCCAGGTCTTCTACCTTCTGAAACATTAAGCTTTTAAAAAGTTAGTTAACGCCGCCGCCGGATCACTATCCCTATATTGCGCTTTCTGCAACCCTGAACAGTTGGGGAATAAAATGCTCCGCTGGGGCGCAGCTTGATACGACCGCAGAGGTCGAACCCTGAACAGTTGGGGCAAGTATGGACACAACATTCAAGCTTGATACAGCTCTGAATTTGGATTGTGATTAAATATTTGACACAGCATAGGTTTCTGACACAGAATGAATGTGGTCTAAGAACTTAAAAATTTTAATTTACCTATTATGGTCCAATATCCAAAATCTAAATACATACATAGTTAGATTCAGCAAACAGGGCCAAAAATTAAGAATCTAAATACACGGTTAAATTCAGCATATCAAAGAACCCCAATATTTCAATTTTTGATGAAATCCAACCATATTAGTATTATTTGCTTCTATATAAAAATAAAAAATAACCAACTTAAAATGGAAAATTTTAAAGAAAAAAAAAAGGAAAAAAAGGAAAAAAAAATCCCCCCCCCCCCCCCCAATTTTTGAACCCCCTTATGATTCATCACCCCAAACGCAATCCCAGCCTTCCCTTTGTGGTATGGTACCTTGCAGTACAATTTCAGAGAGATCCATACACTTGAACACAAGTTATTGTCTGGAAACTGTAAAATTGCTTGTTTTTTGGCCCCTTTTTGGCCCCAAATTCCTAAATGTATAGGGCAATTACCCCAAAACTCAAACCCAGCTTTCTCTTTGTTATATGGAACCTTGTAGTACAATTTCATAACGATCCATACACTTACACACAAGTTATTGTCCTGAAACTAGAAAAAGGCTTGTTTTTTTGCCCCTTTTTGGCCCCTAATTCCTAATATTTTGAGGCAATTACCCCCAAAATCAATCCCAGCCTTCCCTTTGTGGTATGGTACCTTGCAGTACAATTTCAGTGAGATCCATACACTTGAACACAAGTTGTCTGGAAACCAGAAAAATGCTTATTTTTAGCCCCTTTTTAGCCCCTTATTCCTAAACGTTTTGGGCAATTACCCCCAAACTTAATTCCAGCTTTCCCTTTCTGATATGGAACCTTGTAGTACAATTTCAGAAAGATCCATACACTTAAACACAAGTTATTGTCATGAAACTAGAAAAAATGCTCGTTTTTTGCTCCTTTTTTGGCCCCTAATTCCTAAAATTTTGAGGCAATTACCATAGAAACTCGCCTAATAGTCGATCCTACTATAAGTCGGGGGCCCTTTTCAGCTCCAAATTCTAAGGATTTAGTCTTGACCCTCGTATAAGTCGGACAAAATTTGGGCATTTTTTTTTCAGCTGACAGTAACTGAACGCCGGTAAAACCAATGCAAATCCAGGAATAATATTCATTTCTGCATTAATGTTTGTTTGGTTTGAATTTAGTTGATGCTGATCATGATAATTTATATTGCTGTTAATAATAAAGATATATTCATTTCTCTTGTTTTGTTCACTGTTCAAATGTTAGATTAGCCATGTGTTGTTTACGTAATGCATCAATGATTTTGTAGGGTATGACTAACAACCTATTGTTTGAGAAAAGCGAATATAAACCAATATGAACCTGAAAAATTTAAAGTCAATCAACACTTGATGAAAATATTTTTCACAGCATACATAACTCGGTGTTAAATGAGCATGTACACTTCATAATTCTTATTATATTGTGATGATTAAAGGATTCAAAAAATTAAGTGAAGCTAATCAATATATTAAAATAACTAACTCCAACTCATTAGTGTCACCTGTTTACCTATCACTGATAGTTTTCACACCTTTAGTAAATACAACTCTTTGTCTCTTAATTGGGGTTATCAATGGATTATATTGGCTTGTCAATCAATTTTGTAATTTTTGTTTACCTGAGACACTTTAATGAATAATATTTTGATTTTGGGAATGAATCTTAAAATTATTTTTTGATTATTATATGATTTATAAACATTGAATTGATATCATGATATCACAATAATGACACAATAACTCCGCTGAAAACATCCTTTCACATATTTGGTACATTGTTATCTCCTTTTCATTTTTGGTTCTTGGCTCTTCTTTTGGGTTTATAGGAAAACCATGTGACCATGAAAATCAATACACAAACCGGAAACAGTAGAATTTCAACACGAATTTGCAGAAAATGTTAACCAAAGAACAAATAAAACACAAAGACAGTATTGTAGACATTTATTTTCAACAAAAACTTTTTATTTATTGATTTATGTAGGTTTGGCAATCAAAAACGTAGTTTTGAACAGGAAATTCACTCCTGACCACTTTTCTCAAGCTTGGATTTTTCCTCTGGTCGCTAGATCTCGTCTAATAGTCGGTCCCCCTCTCTGGATTATGAATTTTACTCCCAATTTTCCGACTAATAAGCGAGTAGGAACGCTTTTTTGAGCCAGCCGGACATTTCATATCTTATCCTGATTTTTTATCCCTTTAGACTTAGTAAATTAGGCAACTATGATAATCAGTTGGCCATCATATATGATATAACCAATGATTGACATTAAAACGATATTAAACTTTACTTTGATATAAATTCGATGTTCAGACGTAAAGTGTTAGATTGAAAGTGCAGCATTCGAAGTGTGCAACATCAGCGTACTAATTCTGCTTAATTCTGCTTTAGACTCTTTATTTGTGCAAAATAACGCTGTAAAAAGCTTTACTTTCGTTTTTAAAATCACATTTTCCTAATGCCGGATGTTGACTTGATAATGGTAAATCACGGATCAAAGACTGATACGTAATATCCGTGTAAGTTTACGATTGAGTTAAGTAGCCTTTTCAAGTTATTTCCTCAAGAAAATACTCGAAATGAACGTTAGATAAAGGTATCAATGATAATTTTAGCATTATTGAAGAATTAGGATGCATAATTAAATTTCCCACCAGCGGACAATAGACACATGCGCACACGTGTACTAGTTCAAACAACGTGGTTCTGACGATTATTAGTTTAAAACCTTTTCAAATTTTTCATCAAATCATATTTATTAACGTATTTCTTATAATTTCAATCTTTTAGACTTAATTAATTAGATGCAACCCGCTGAAATGTAAGAAAATAACTTTGAATACCCTTAAGCGTACCCCAGTATTTAACACGATGTACAGTGTTTTTAAATATAATAATGAATATCATACAAATTCGAATTCATTTATAAATATTCTTATTTGAAGAATTATTTTAAAATGTAAGGATACTTTTTTAAAACTGAATGCTCATTTACAATAATATCTACAAAGCGTAATTAAATAGGATGTTGTTCCTTACACGCTTACATGTTTGACCTCGTTTACCTGATCACCTTTATCACCTGTTTATGTTCATTGTTATGCATCATCAATTCTATTGATTAAGACAAGCTAAGGTCTCTCATCAAAGGTAATGACCTGTAATCAGTGAATGATTTATGGCTTCAATATTACTCATTGAAGGGATAATTGTTTGACAGCTTGTTGTTTTTTAAATAAAAGAACAAATGTTTTTTTCCACTTTTTATTGATGTACCAAGCCGTGCATTTGTGTACCCAGATGATTAGACTAACTGAGACACTTCCAAGTATGAAATATCTTTGTGAAATAGATTGCCACAATTATAAACTATAATGCCCAAACGGACATTTTTTCCGATCGATAGTTGGTAAAAAAAGTGAAATGACCGTTTTATGAAAATGCCTTGAATAACAAAAGTGGCAAACCTATGATATTTGACCGTTTGAGGCTGAGAGCAGCCGGACTTTTTATATAAATTTCGGTCAAGTCCGGAATATATGACCGTTTTGGAAGCCATGAATTACCCCCAAAATTAATCCCAGCATTCCCTTTGTGATATGGAACCTTGTGGTACAATGTCAGAGAGATCCATACACTAACACACAAGTTATTGTCTGGAAGTTACAATAAAATGCTTCGCTGGGCGCAGCTTGATACGACCGCAGAGGTCGAACCCTGAACAGTTGGGGCAAGTATGGACACAACATTCAAGCTTGATACAGCTCTGAATTTGGATTGTGATTAAATATTTGACACAGCATAGGTTCTGACACAGAAAGAATGTGGTCTAAGAACTTCAATTTTTTTAATTTACCTATTATGGTCCAATGTCCAAAATCAAAATACATGGTTAGATTCAGCATATCAAAGAACCCCATAAATTCAATTTTTGTTGAAATCAAACAAAGTTTAATTTTGGACCCCAACTTGAACAAACTTGAAAACTGGTCCCATAATCAAAAATCTAAACACATGTTTAGATTCAGCATATCAAAGTACCCCAAGAATTCAATTTTTGTTAAAATCAAACTAAGTTTAATTTTGGACCTTTTGGACCTTAATGTAGACCAATTTAAAAAACGGGACCCAAAATTAAAAATCTAAAAACACGGTTAGATTTGGCATATCAAAGAACCCCAATAATTCAATTTTTAATGAAATCAAACAAAGTTTAATTTTGGACCCTTTAGACCTCAATATGAACCAATTTGATAGCGGGCCCACAAAATAAAAAATCTAAATACATGGTAAGATTCAGCATACCAAAGAACCCCATATATTCAATTTTTGTTGAAATCAAACAAAGTTTAATTTTGGACCCCAATTTGGACCAACTTGAAAACTGGGCCAAAAATCTAAAATCTAAATACATGTTTAGATTCAGCATATCAAAGAACCCCATATATTCAATTTTTGTTGAAATCAAACAAAGTTTAATTTTGGACCCCAACTTGGACCAACTTGAAAACTGGGCCCATAATAAAAAATCTAAACTCATGTTTAGATTCAGCATATCAAAGAACCCCAAAAATTCAATTTTTGTTAAAATCAAACTAAGTTTAATTTTGGACCCTTTGGACCTTAATGTAGACCAATTTAAAAAACGGGACCCAAAATTAAAAATCTAAATACACGGTTAGATTTGGCATATCAAAGAACCCCAATAATTCAATTTTTGATGAAATCAAACAAAGTTTAATTTTGGACCCTTTTGACCTCAATATGAACCAATTTGATAGCGGGCCCACAAATAAAAAATCTAAATACATGGTAAGATTCAGCATATCAAAGAACCCCATATATTAATTTTTTGTTGAAATCAAACAAAGTTTAATTTTGGACCCCAATTTGGACCAACTTGAAAACTGGGCCAAAAATCTAAAATCTAAATACATGTTTAGATTCAGCATATCAAAGAACCCCATATATTCAATTTTTGTTGAAATCAAACAAAGTTTAATTTTGGACCCCAACTTGGACCAACTTGAAAACTGGGCCCATAATCAAAAATCTAAACACATGTTTAGATTCAGCATATCAAAGAACCCCAAGAATTCAATTTTTGTTAAAATCAAACTAAGTTTAATTTTGGACCCTTTGGACCTTAATGTAGACTAATTTAAAAACGGGACCCAAAATTAAAAATTTAAATACACGGTTAGATTTGGCATATCAAAGAACCCCAATAATTCAATTTTTGATGAAATCAAACAAAGTTTAATTTTGGACCCTTTTGACCTCAATATGAACCAATTTGATAGCGGGTCCACAAATAAAAAATCTAAATACATGGTTAGATTCAGCATATCAAAGAACCCCAAGAATTCAATTTTTGATGAAATCAAACAAAGTTTAATTTTGGACCCTTTTGACCTCAATGTGGACAAAGTTGATAACGGGGCCCAAAAATCAAAAATCTAAATACATGGTTAGATTCAGCATATCAAAGAACCACATATATTCAATTTTTGTTGAAATCAAACAAAGTTTAATTTTGGACCCCGATTTGACCAACTTGAAAACTGGGCCCATAATCAAAAATCTAAATACATGTTTAGATTCAGCATATCAAAGTACCCTAAAAATTCAATTTTTGTTAAAATCAAACTAAGGTTAATTTTGGACCCTTTTGACCTTAATGTAGACCAATTTGAAAACGGAACCAAAAATTAAGAATCTAAATACACGGTTAGATTCGGCATATCAAAGAACCCCAATAATTCAATTTTTGATGAAATCAAACAAAGTTAAATTTTGGACCCTTTGGACCTCAATGTGGACCAATTTAAAAACGGGGCCCAAAATCCAAAAACTTAATACACGGTTAGATTCAGCATATTAAAGACCCCCAAGAATTCAAGAATAAAACCCCATTTAAATTGATCAAGAAATAAGCAATTTATACGAAGTATCTTCTTTTGCACAATACTGTGCAATTGAATATTTCTTGCTATTGTGCAATACTGTTCAATTGACAATTTCTTGCTATTGCGCAATATTGTGCTATTGGATATTTCTTGCTATTGCGCAATACTGTGCAATTGAAGATTTCTTGCTATTGCGCAATACTGTGCAATTGAAGATTTCTTGCTATTGCGCAATACTGTGCAATTGAAGATTTCTTGCAATTGTGCAATACTGTGCAATTGAAAATTTCTTGCTATTGCACAATACTTATTATATAATAATTTACACATCCTGTTTGGTGTGTATCTCCTACCATATCATTATTATTTGCTTTTAAATATTAATCAGAAATAACCAACTTAAAATGGAAAATTTTAAAAGAAAAAAAAAAGGAAAAAAAGAAAAAAAAAGAAGAAAAAAAAATTCCCCCCCCCCCCAAATTTTTTGAACCCCCTTATGATTCATCACCCCCAAACTCAATCCCAGCCTTCCCTTTGTGGTATGGTACCTTGCAGTACAATTTCAGAGAGATCCATACACTTGAACACAAGTTATTGTCTGGAAACTAGAAAAATGCTTATTTTTGGCCCCTTTTTGGCCCCCAATTCCTAAACGTTTCGGGCAATTACCCCCAAACTCAATTCCAGCTTTCCCTTTGTGATATGGAACCTTGTAGTACAATTTCAGAAATATCCAAACACTTACACACAAGTTATTGTCATGAAACTAGAAAAATGCTTGTTTTTTGCCCCTTTTTTGGCCCCTAATTCCTAAAATTTTGAGGCAATTACCCCCAAAATCAGTTACAGCCTTCCCTTTGTGATATGGAACCTTGTGGTACAATGTCAGAGAGATCCATACACTTACACACAAGTTATTGTCTGGAAGTTACAAAAATGCTTATTTTTGGCCCCTTTTTGGCCCCTAATTCCTTAACTGTTGGTACCATAACCCCCAAAATCAATCCCCACCTTCCTTTCGTGGTATTGAACCTTATGGTAAAATTTCATGGAGATCCATTCACTTAAACTAAAGTTAGAGTGCGAAAACCAATGTGTCTTCGGACGACGCCGGACGACGCCAGACGACGACGACGACGACGACGATGACGACGCCAACGTCATACCAATATACGACCAAAAAATTTTCAATTTTTGCGGTCGTATAAAAATTCGTAAGGGTTCCGCTGAACCCAGTGTCTCGCCTACTTTTGCTGTTAATCGCAGGCTCAACAAAAATGAGGAAAAAAATCAATAAAAATATTCCTTTAGATACTATCTTTTGATTGTAAGAAGCTTCTGTCAAAATTTGGTATAAATCCAGGATAGTTTATGAATCTAATAAATGTTTTAAAAACTTTAACTGCAGACTGTATTTAATGTTAACTGGAAGAAAAACTAAGTCCATTTATAAGTAAAATACGGATAAACAGGTACAAAATTTTAACAAAATTTCCTTCTAGATACTAGCTTTTGATCATAAACAAGCTTCTCTCCAAGTTTGGTACAAATCCAGGATAGTTTAAGAAAGTTATTAAAATTTTAAAAACTTTAACCACAGAGTGAATGTATTGTTTCCTGGCAGAAAAACTAAGTCCATTTATAAGTAAAATATGGAAAAAATGAATTTTTTTTTTACAAATTTACTTCTGGATACCATCTTATGATCATAAACAAGCTTCTGTCCAAGTTTGGTACAAATCCAGGATAGTTTAAGAAAGTTATTAAAATTTTAAAAACTTTAACCACAGAGTGAATGTAATGATTCCTGGCAGCAAACTAAGTCCATTTACAAGTAAAATACTGAAAAACAGGAATTTTATTTTTACAAAATTTACTTCTGGATACCATCTTATGATCATAAACAAGCTTCTCTCCAAGTTTGGTACAAATCCAGGATAGTTTAAGAAAGTTATTAAAATTTTAAAACTTTAACCACAGAGTGAATGTAATGATTCCTGGCAGAAAACTAAGTCCATTTACAAGTAAAATACTGAAAAACAGGAATTTTATTTTTACAAAATTTACTTCTGGATACCATCTTATGATCATAAACAAGCTTCTCTCCAAGTTTGGTACAAATCCAGGATAGTTTAAGAAAGTTATTAAAATTTTAAAAACTTTAACCACAGAGTGAATGTAATGTTTCCTGGCAGAAAAACTAAGTCCATTTACAAGTAAAATACGGAAAAACAGGAATTTTATTTTTACAAAATTTACTTCTGGATACTATCTTATGATCATAAACAAGCTTCTGTCCAAGTTTGGTACAAATCCAGGATAGTTAAAGAAAGTTATTATAATTTCAAAAACTTTAACCACAGAGTGAATATTTGTGGACGCCGCCGACGACAACGACGACGGAATGTAGGATCGCTATGTTTCGCTTTTTCGACTAAAGTCGAAGGCTCGACAAAAATGCTTATTTTTTGCCCCTTTTTGGCCCCTAATTCCTTAACTGTTGGTACCATAACCCCCAAAATCAATCCCAACCTTCCTTTTGTGGTATTGAACCTTATGGTAAAATTTCGAAGAGATCCATTCACTTAAACTAAATTTATTGTGCGAAAACCAATGTGTCTTTGGACAACGACGACGACGCCAAAGTCATACCAATATACTACCCCAAAAATTTTTTTGGGGTTGTATAAAAATCTATAAAACTTATCTGTAATTATCTTCAAAATGTCTAATAATGAACAGTAAATTTCAAACTTTATTTATACTGTCCTACAGATCTTATCATCAATACTTAGGAAATAAATCTGTCACTCCAATTATAATTGTGTGATAAGATATTTACCAGATGTTTTGTTATCTATTAACAGTTGAAAATTATTTAAAAATACTTAGTATAATCAAAACTCTATATATATAATTAAATAGTTCCCAATATTTTTTCTTTCATTTGTCACAAACTAATAGATCTGCAACTTATCTATCAATGTCAACAATTTTATCTACACAATGTAATGTAATGAAATATATCCTTTAATGAAAATAGATTTTTTTTCTAATGAAAATAATATTTGCAAATCACAATTTCTGTTCAAAGGGAAATAACTCAATCATATAATAAGTATATATTTGGACTTCTAAAAAGTTGAAAACTCAAAAACGAGAGAAGCTAAAATCTTGAAAATTGAACTTTACCTTCATTAAATCACAGGAAACAACACATCAAAATTCAAATCAAAAATTTGTCAAAGCATTTGCATGTTAATGAACGGACACTGTTTGGCAGCCGCCTGCCCATCCACCCGCTGTATCCCCAAAGCAAAAGTAATGCCACCAAAATTCAAACTTGATCTCTGTTACTTGGAAATAAGCATTGTGCATTAGTTTCATAACATTTGGTTGAGGCAAACTAAAGTTAGAGACCACAAACCAATTTTGGGACATAAGGACGTACTGATAGACACACACTTCGGGTAAAACTTCATGCCCCCTCTGCTATGGCGGGGGCAGCCGTAGGCATAAAAAAAGGTGGATAAGCTAGGCATTGATGTGCTAATTTGCCAGAGCAAACTAAATTTTTGGGATCGACTGGCTAAATCAGCCATGTACAACTTTTATGTATAACATAATTAGTTGAAAATTTTGAGATATTGTTCATTTATAGGAAATTATAGCATTGTATATGGAATACTACTGAACTTGCAAATACATTATTGTTTTCCATGATTATTTTATTCTTATTTTTAAAAAAAGGACAAAGGGTCTGTATTTCAATCAGATTAAGGGGTACATACCAATAAAACAGTAACAATAAAATACATATAAAAGAACAGAGTTCCAATGTCCCCGCATTGCACATATCTTATCTATCCAAGAGCAATAACTAAAAAAAAGTTTTGGTTTGTTCTTTAGAACTTTTTATAAATATCTTAGATAAATGAAGGCTTGAGATAAATACAATGCAATTACCAATATAAGTAATATTTCCAAGGGGCATAACTCTATGATATAAGATCCATAAAAATCTGGCAAGAATTGTACAAGAGAGTGCTTACAATGCAATTTTTTTTTACAATTAATATTTCAAAGGGCATAACTCTTTTAAAAATAATTGATCGGCACTGATTTTCCAATTTGTCTGAGATATTACTGATATAAAACTATAATATAGGTTTTGAAAAAATCTGGCAAGAATAGTACATGTGAGAGCGCTAACAAGAACGGAAAGACAGACTTGATGTCCAGTATTTCTTTGTTCCCCGCAACACATCGAGCGGGTGACAAAAAAACAACAAAAGACATCTACTCTTAGATTTTACTGCTCTCTACCAGGCAGACCAGCCTCCCACACTTTCTGCTAGTTTATTATGATTCATTAGTAACATAATTTACTTCAGCAATGAAGTCTATTTATGTGACTTATAACTGTATCCTACAGAATTTTTCATTGACTAATGAACCATGAAAATGAGGTCAAGGTCAAATATAGTTGACCTACTGCTTATAGTTTCTGAGAAACAGACCTAATCATGTTCCTTTAACCTTGACCTCTGATCAATGAAATGTGGTTGAGGTCAGGTGAACCTTGTCTGACAGGCATGTACACCTTGCAAGGATTCATATACCAAATATAGTTATCCTACTACTCATAATAAGTGAGAAATTCCAGGAAAAAAAATAGGATTTTTCAAGCAGTTGCTGAACTATGTAAATGAGGTCAAGGACAATGGACATATGACAGATGGAAACATTGTTACATAAGCTATTAAGGTATTTGCATACAAGGTATGAAGCATCCAGGTCTTCAACCTTCTAAAATATAAAGCTTTATAAAAATAATTAACACCAGCTGCCGCCGCCATAGGATAGTAATCCCTATGTCTCGCATAACTTTCATAGCAGGCGAGACAAAAACTACTTGAACTAGACATTTTTTTAACTTGTCCCAGCTGACTGTGTTATTATGGAAATAACTTATCCCTGATAAACAAGTAGTTGGAAGATATTAACTCGTCCTCGAAATTTTATTACAAGCCAAACAAGTTGTGCATGGTATATCCTCATCCCAGTTATATACCAAATTATGTTAATTTATCATGTATAATACTTATTGCAAAATAAATGTGGATAGTGTCCACATGTGGACACAGATGATGCCCCCGCTTGCATAGCATATAGTTATAAAGGGACATAACTGAAGAACGGTAAAAGTGATGCTACCCAAATTTGAACTTGATCTGAGTTTTGTTGTTATAAGCATTGTGTGTAAGTCTCATTACATTTGGTTGAGGCTAACTTAAGAAGAGAACAAAAACTAAAATTTTTGCAATTTTTCCATTTATAAAGGAGCATAACTCTAGAACGGTTAAAGTGACGCCACAAAAATTCAAACTTGATCTGTGTTTTGTGGTAATAAGCATTGTGTATAAGTTTCATAACATTTGGTTGAGGCAAACTTAAGTTAGAGAATGGAAACTAAACATTTTGCAATTTTTCCATTTATAAAGGGGCATAACTCTAGAACGGTTAAAGTGACGCCACCAAAATTCAAACTTGATCTGTGTTTTGTGGTAATAAGCATGTATAAGTTTCATAACATTTGGTTGAGGCAAACTCTTTTTACAGAACGGAAACCAATTTTGGGTTGTACGTACAGACGGACAAGGGTAAAACTTAATGCCCCCTCTGCTACGGAGGGGGCATAAAAACCTC